TTAAAAACAAAACAAAACATGATATATCAAAAAGAAATCCTTTCTAAATATCCCCTAAATAAGTTATCTTGTATAAGTTCAGCTTTTTAGTAGCTCAATAGTTATGGATACAAGAAACCCATAGAACAACAACAACAAAAAAAATGCCAGAATTTTTTTTCTTTTTTATTGAGTTTATTGGTACAATCTAGGTCTATAATACAGTTACATTCATTAAATGCCAGAATTTTAATTGTGCAAGTTAAAAAAAAATGTAGCTAATTTTGACATTATGGAAAATTCCAAAATTTAGATCTTCAAACTGGCACAATTTTAATTCAGTTATTTTAACTTTCAAGAGATACAAAAATTAAACACTAAGTTTTAAAAGTTAAAAATTTAAGTAATAAAAATGTAAGAAATAAAAAATCTTAACTCAATTTAAAAGTTTTAATGTCATTCATAACTAATAACATGGCTGGATTTATAGCTATTAGAGCTTAAAGTAAATTAATAAACCATTGCTTCCTAGCAATACACTAATATTACATTTATTGCAGGCTTCCTAGGTTCTAGGCGTTGTGCTAAGCACTTGAGATATTCTGCCTTATTTAGTCTTTACTCCCTTTACTCGGAAGAAACAGGTTCAGTGAAACCAGATGCCATACCTAGGATCAGACAGCTAAGAAAACTGGAACCTGGGTCTGGCTGGCTCCAGGTCTTGGGGCTTTCTCCTATTCTTCACAACTATGCACACATTTCTCAAGACAGCTGGATTTTTTTTCCTTTCTAGTCATCTGAAATGAAGCAATCCTTACAGCAGTGAGTCCCCAGTGTTTTCACTTTTCAGTCTTTTCCTAAATGCCATAATCATCAAGTTTTGAAGTTCCTACACAACTTCAGTGTCCCGGAAACAGATCATTCTGCTTGGTTTCATGCACGCTAACATTCACAACTTACCCCAAGCTTGGTAAGTCATATATGACCAGGAAGAAGTGAAGCTTGACAAATGAAGCTCATTCTCCTTCATGTGCCACTGCTGACAGTAAGTTTTTCATTATTTAGGCCTGATGTGGCATTTTCTCCAGATTTTACAACAACAATGAACGTTTTCCTATTCAGTTTCACTTATGTAAATGTTGTCTCTGAGTAACTTCTCCTGAGCTTTCTCTTTTCATTTCTCTCCATGGCAGAGCACTGAGGTTAAAAACAGTCTTTTGTGTCTGTTGAAGGCTGGACACTTGATCTTAAGGCAGGCAGCCACACGTTTCCCAAGAAGAAGCCAAGATGCTGAGAGGGGAACCCTACATCTGGGGGATTTGGTAGTTACCGATAACCCCAGAATGCTGACCAAAGCCCCACTTGTTATGCCAAAACTTCACTTGAAGTATGTTAAACTCAGTTATCAGAATGTATAGATATAAACTGGAATCCTTTTGGAAGGCTTTCCAACAGTCCAAATCTCTTAATGATTTCATGTCTGAAGAAGCATGAACAATGGATTGATTTGGCCCATTTTTTTTCTAATGCTATATCATTTATCATCATGCAGCTCTAAGCCCACAGCTGCTTAATCTGAGACCATAAATTAACCGCTTCTACAAGTTAGGGCCTCTGCTAGGAGGGAGACCAGGGAAAAACAGAAAAATTAACAGAAAAAAATTATTTGATTCAGTTAAGTTCAAGTTCAGGCTGAAATCCATAGGTGGCTGAATGAAGCTTCATAAACTCCCTCATTTTTGGCATTTGTATGTAGCCTCATACATTAAGACTTAGCATTTCCTTAAAAGTGCATGAAAGTCCCTGGAAGGTAAACAATTGATCTCAGACTTTTTTAAAAGTATAATTTATTTGAAATAGGTAAGGTGTTTACAAGTCTCACAATCAAAGGGTACAAAAGTTGTACGATAAAATTTTCTCCCAACTTGTCACCTTAGAGGTAGGCAGTTTTATTAGTTTCTCATGCATCCTTCTAGTTATATAGTTTTTTCATATGTAAACAAAAATGCGTATTATTTTTCTCTCCTAAAGTGTAAAAATTATATCTGGAAAGTTACAAGGAGCTAAAGGTGTAGGGAAAGTGGGAAGGGTAGGGGAAAGCTAATAAGGGAAAAGAAAAAAATATGAGAAAATGAAAAAATGGAAATGAAGTATTTGTAAAGGTGAAGGGCGGGCAGGGACAAGAGTAAAAAATGAGAACCAAGACCTGTCATGTAAAGGTACAAGTCCCAATGATGAATGTAACTGTACTGTATATCTAAAATGTACCAATAAACTCAATGAGAAAAAAAAGAAAGTTACATACCATATAATGTACAAATTAAGTGTGCTGTATAAGTATTCCTACCAAGAATCTAACATGAAAAGCAATTATTCATAGTATGCCTATTTTATATTCAATGAACATAATGTACAAAGTGTAATGTGACATACTCTTTGTTCCACATCTTTTTTCCTTAAGAGTAAACACATCTTGAAGATATGCTCCATCAGTACAGATATTCTGTGACTACCTGCTGTCTTCCAATGTCTGGATGTGCCAACACCTTTATTTAACTTCCCACTGATAGACATTTAGGTTGTTTCCAGTGTTTTGTTATTATGAATAAAGCTACAATGAATAACTTCATACACATCATTTTGTACATATGAGAATATAGCTGTAGGGTCAATTTTAGAAATGGAATTGCAGGGATGTTTATAATTTTGGTAGCTATCACCAAATTATCCTCCCCAGTAACTGTACCACTTTATAGTCCTACCAGTAATGTAGGGGAGCACAGATTTTTTTTTATTTTAAATTTTTATTGGTCCACGTTTGCAGTACATGACGGTCACTTAACAAAGGGGAGATGTTAGACATAAAAGCAGACTTTGTTGGAAATGGGGAAGGGGATAAGGAGGAGAGAAAGGAGGGTAAGGGAGGGAGCCAAAACGATCAAAATGACCAAGACATGGTATATCCATGTACCAATCCCCCAAGTGAAAGTAACTGATGTATTATTGCAAACATACAGTAACAGAAAAATTAAAAAGAATGGAGATGAGATAAATCAAAACCTCCCTTTAAGTTGAATTTGATTAGACTAAGCAGTCAAACCACACACATTAAAAAATATACACTTTCTTGAATAATAAGTGTTGTCATGTTTGTTTTAAAACCACAGATTTTTCTAGGGTCCCGCCCAGCTCTAGGCCTTAATCCTCTATCTGACTTAGTTCCAGGCTCCTCATTTCCCTCTCAGAACTTGAAAGGCTGAACTGTATCGAGTTCAACGTGTACTGGGATGTAAACTGGATGTGAACATCCATGTTTACAGAGCCCAGAAGGGGGCGTTCTTTAAGGACAGCCCTTTTGTTTCCCTAGTTCTCTCCGGCTCCACCCCTTCTCTCCACCCTTGCTTCCGCAGATCTTTAATTATGGATGACAGAATTTTGACTCTTTTCTTGGTATTGTCCGAAAAGAAGCTACAGTGTGCAAGAGAATGAAATTGTCAATAAAATTATTTTTAAATAATTAAGTTCTGTGTTTTTCTCATCATGCAAAGTTGAAAAGTATGCTGTGTAAACATAGAAGCTATGAAAAAGAAAAAATAACTAAGAAGAGGAATACTCTCTACTGGGAGGTTAAACTGGGAGTGTTCTTTAAAACATGAGAAAATAAGAAAATGAACAGGCAAGTATATTGAGGAACAGAATAAATAGGAATGTTCTATTAAATTAATACAGGCTCAAAAAGGGACAAATACAGAATTACATATCATCTTCACTTATGTCATTTATGAAACACAACACAAGTGGGTAAAGTGCCTGTCAAATCCAATGCCACAGAAAGTATGATTTTGGAATCCAGTAAACGTGCATTTTTTGCTCAGCCAGAGTCACAAATTATTGTATAAATAAACACATACAAGCAGATAACAGAAGGAATTCAGTTGGAAAATCTGTTTCTTCAGTCTTGATGTGTACCAAAACAAAGAAGATGCTAATAAATGGTCAAAAGAGAAAGAAAATTCTGGGACTTCCTGAGAGGCCATCTGAACCTAAAAGTCTCTCGAAAACAGTATCTTGGGAGGTCCCTGTAGTGATAAGAGCCAGTGGCATTCAAGAGTTCAAGCAGTGATGATGAACCTTTTCTGGCACAGAAGAGGACCCAGTGCAGCCAGAAGTCAAGGTACACTGTTAGACTCTCCAGAAAGAACATGTAATTATGCAAGTACAGTAGCAAAGTGAAGTTTCTACTCAAGAGAATACATAGGGCTGGGGATTTAGCTCAGTGGTTCCACTTGCCTGCCTCACAAGAGCAAGGTCCAGAGTTCAATCCCTGATACCAAAAAAAAAAAGAGAGAGAAAACATAGAAAAGAAAGTTCCAGACATGTTTCATCATGCAGTTAGCAATAAGGCTGCCAGTTAGTAATGGATTGACTCACTGTACCCTGGGAAAACCATGGATCTCCTTTGGAGAAAACACAAAATAAGTCAAAACCAAAGTCAGCCATAGACCAAATACTTAATGGTGGTGTTTGTCCAAAGCCTTATGTAGTAGATATACAGCATGTAGTAAATCACATGAACAACGCTAAGAGGCTATGGGAAAGATAATCTAGAAACAGACACAACACAGTTTCTGACTTCTGGGAGACTCACATTTGTTCTAGTTGCTACATAGAAAAAAATGTATTAAATGAAAATTTCAAAGTGCATAGTAGATACATTATATTTTTTTATCTCTGGGGAAAATTTATATACAGAGACTATCTTTAGAATACATGGACAAAGGCAACATCTGTTGCCCGTAGGAAGGAAAAGTGGATAGCTAGGAGGATGGGATGGAAGTATTTTTTATTGTTTTCTATTAGACCATTTGAATTTTGAATCATGGAAGAGTGTGAATTCAAAACTCAATACTATTTAGATCAGAAAAGAAAAAGGACTTCTAAGCCATAAAAGACACTATATAGAAAATCATCAGATCACACAGCAAAGGCAAATAAATCAGTGTAAACATAATGCTAGCAAAGGAATTCAAGAGCTATTTTCCCCAGTTCTCTCAAATACTGATTTCTTGTAACTAAAATTGCTTTGATTATAAACGCATGTAAGTACACTCCACTGACATTATGTCTTGTGTGTACACTCAATGCCGAGCATGGTGCAAGGCACTCATAATATGCAAAGGCACTTGAATATTTTTTGAATGAATGAATTTCTGAAAGTACAGCTATAAATTGCACTCTAGAAGGACAGGAGGTAAGTTGAAGAAATCTGAGAGCTGCTATTTCCTACTATGGACATGTTATGTAAGCCCTCTGCTTCCTCAGCTATTAAATGAATACAGTAATAGGGGTTTCCTGAAGGGTTGTTGGAAATGAGATTACATGAACAAGGTACACACAGTTGTAAAGCTGATATTTATATGCACCCGACACTGTAACAGACCTTTGAAATTTGAGGATAACATTACTCAAGTCAGCTGAACTAGTGAGTCGGTTAAATAAGTTTAAGATCCATACAATCCAATGCTTCCTATCTGTAACAATACTTACAGGGGATACTAAGCACCTCACAAATAGTATATGCTTTCCTGAACCCAAACAAGCAGTTAAGTAGCAGCGTTTTAACAGCTATTATAGCTTCAAAAGAGATAATTCACAACCACACTTACCTAACAAGAAGACACCGCAGGCTCAAAATAAATAGAAACAAGTCACACCTGAATACTGTTGCAATGCTGGGACTGTCAACAGGGCAGAAGACACACGGAGGCACTGAGTGGAGGCGATGGGCACTTCTGCAAGAGCTAACCATTCTTCAGGGATTCTCAACCGGCTCCTCATTCAGAAGTGTCTTTTGTCTCTTTCATGAATGCTCAGTCTCCGTTCTTGAAGGGCCACGGTTTCCTTCCAGGCTCCCCCTTCTACTGCATCTTTCTTTGGCTTCCACTCTCTCTTCTTTTCCCAGGTTCCTTTTCCAGTGCTTGGGCCTCTGAAGTCCAACATCATCTGCATCCCACGAGCCTTTTCACTCCCAAACTCCCAAACCATGGGCTGAGAACCCCTGCTTGAAGATCACAAGTTTTGGTACTGGTTACGTCTCCTCAAATTGTATATCTGGAGTGTGATAAAAGTATATTAATATCATGGATGGGGGTCTGGAAAAAAGGAACAAGAAATCTAAGAGAAGCAAAGCTCATATTTGCCAGACCACATAATAACTTTGCAATAAGAGAAAGAGGCAGATGACATTTATGACAGATTTCCCTTACATGATGAAAGTGACTAACCATTCCTATTTGCCTAGGAATGTACTGGTTTTAAAACTGAATGATGAGCTAGGTGTGGTGGCACACGCCTGTAATCCCGGCACATGAAAGGCTGAGGCAAGAGGATCGCCGCAAGTTCAAGGCCAGCTTGGCCTACATAGTGAACTCAAGGTTAGGTGGCACTACAAGAAAAACCCAAGAAATAAAAAATAAAACTGATGATGCCCTGAGAAATCCCTCAGTCCTGAGCAAACTGAGAGGTTTGGTCCTCTCAGACCAGTGATAGCAAACCTTTTAGAGACCGAGTGCCAAACTGCAACCCAAAACCCACTTATCTCAAAGTGCCAACACTCTGATTAAACTGAATACTGAGCTTTTAGTTTAGAAAAACAACTCTACATTAACATCTTTTGTCTTAAAAGAAAAGCACAATGACAGGTGTGCCATAGGTTCACCACCCCTGGCTCAGGCAACACAAATACTTACTACTTAGCTTTATAGCACAAATGAATGCTACGAACCACATAATGCAATCTGTCTGTAGCAAAATGGGTTGACGTTAACAGGTTAAGGGTCCATGGTTAGGCTAGGTTGCCCACAAACTTGATTTGTCATCAGCTGTGTGTTTTTGGACACTACATCATCATCATCTTGGCCCTCTGGTTTCTCGGCTATAAAATGGGAATGAGTCTAATATTTGTCTTTGACATTTTTTGGTGGTGGTTGGAGGGAGTTAAATGAAATACTTCACACTACACATGAAAGCAGTAAACAGTGCCTGACAGACAACATTGCAGAATTAATTAATTAGCTATCCATCCGTCTAAGTGAGTTGCTCCCCTGTTACAGGGAGCTGTTGGGATTCAGGGCAATGGAAGTTTGCTTAGCAAAGAGAAGCCACCTCTTCCCGCTTTGCCTTTCCCCTTTTGCTCCACAAGCTGTTCACCACTGTCTACTCTGGAGGGCCATCCTAAACCCCCTCAGACTGTGGCAGGAGTTCTTAGAGTTGTAAGGCGAAGACCAGCAGTTCTCACAACTGGCCTCTAAAATGAGGGAAGTGATGACTGATACATTTGTTCTCGCTTTAGCTTTTTGTTTCCTATTCCTTCGACTTTCCAGTCCCTTCTGATATTCTTACCATTTTGTTTCCTTGAGTTCAAATCTTGGGTGTTACATTTTTCCACATCTATCACACTCACTAGAGAAAAAGAAATCAGTTTTTAATTTCCATATTGTACGGCTCTCTATCCCACAAAATGACTGGGGTTTAAATTCCAAATTCCCAGGGAACATTTTTAATCTCCTGGGAATTTCTTAATTCCAGGGACACAACCCATAACGTTAATTACTTCAACAGTTTAGGACACCAGCTTTTTGCTCTTAGATTTTCTTTCAGAGTATATGCTTTTATTTTTCCATCCTTCCCTCAGAGATAGAAAGTGCCACATTCCAAGGTACGATGTAATCTGTTGTTCCCCTCCCCCTTCCTCTTTGTAATACTGGAGACTGAACCCAGAACCTCACAAGTGATAGGCAAGGGCTCACTGACCTACATTTATCAGCCTTTGAAAAATTTTTGAGACAGGTTCTTGCTGACCTTGGACATTCCATCAGTCTCCTAAGTCACTGGGCTTACAGGTATGCGCTTACCATGTCTGGCTATCTGTTGGTTTTTTAGCCATTCCTAGACAACTGATCTTTTATTCCCAAGGAAATATTCCCAGTGTGAATCGGAAAATAATCATTTCCTTGTGAAATTCACTCCATCCTTGGATCTGTTATTGAAACTTGAATTTCAAATCCTGGCTCAGTTCAGATAAGTTCTTTGAAACCACTGATTCCTACCCACTAAGACCACTTTTCCAGATCCACCCACGCTTGTGGGGATTATGGAGAATTCCTCAATAACTATGGGAACTCCCTTCTATATTCCACCTCCTTATTTGACATCAGATATCTCTATATAGGGGCCATCATTGGATCTCTTGATGTGTATCTCAATGTACTAGGGAAAATGCTTGCTCTGAATTATCTTGAAATGGGAGGAAATTATTTGAATATATTTATTTCCCTGGATTTTAATTGTTCCTCTGGTTAAGTAAATAAACACATTTAAATTATTTCTAAAATTGCTTAACATCCACCTCCAGAAATCTTGCAAAATACTCTATGGTAAAAATACCACAGCTCTAGAGACGGAACTATGTTGACTAGTCAGGGTACCAGAGACTAGCTCAATGCAAAGTTATAACCAAAACCAGCAGGCATTAGTGCTTTCACTTCTGTAAATCTGTACTTGTGCATGTTGGAAAGAAACTTTATGACACTGATTCTTCTTCAACCTCTACACATAGTGATTCTCCAAACCCTCACTACCGTCCATCTGATCTTCACCCAGCAACCTCACTCAGCTTCATTGGATTGCTGATGAATCCTGGGGCTTCTCTGTGTCACGTAGCAAAACTCAGACAACTTCTCTGCAGCCATTATCCAACTCTCCCTCCTCAAAAATTCTATTACAAGGGTAATAGACCTTCCAATGTGGGCGACACTGTAGAACAGCAAAATGGGCAGGACTGAAGGAAAAGATGGCATAGTTTTACCCAGTAACACAACTAAAATTCACTTTGCATAATTGAAAATGGGCCTGGAAATAAAAAGCTAACAGGAAACAGCATAAAACAGTCTTTTCCAGGGATTTCAACTTGAATTTTGAGTAGGACATTTCTTGTGATGTGGCACTGTCCGACAAATGGCAAGATATTTAGCATTTCTGGCTTTGCATTTTCTGGTGACAACAATACCACCTTCACACTTCCCCACACCCCCAGTGAAAACCATCATAATGAAGGAAATACCATCTTTTCTTAGGCAGAATAGGACCAGTGCCACAACACAGAACAACGGGATGAGTCCCACCATCATAAAATGATTCCTCTTATTTGTGGAAGATACAGCAGGTGGTTCTGAAAAACAAAAAACAAAACAAAACTGACTAAAGATAAAATTTTTGTGGGAAGTGTCAGGAAAATAATCAATCTTGAAGTTTGTTTAATTTCAGGTTAATCTTCTTAAGCACTAGTCTTCTTCAAGTAATCTTCTTAAGCAGCTCCTGGCCGGTGAGAGGCCGAAATGATGAGATAGCTCTGATCACGAGATGAGGGCCGCATGGAATAGTGCAGGAAGCCCAGGTTTTGCACAGAGACCTGTGGCTGAATCCTACTGCCAATGACCAGCTTTGAGATTTCTAGCAAGTCCTTTAACCAGCTTACCAAACGGAAATTCTAAGTTTATCAGGCTAATGTTTGTAAAGTGCTTAGCACAGTACCACAGGAGTGTCTGCTTGATACTAAAGGGTGGCCTTACTTACGTCATTTCCTCTTGCTTTTTTTCTTTTGTTTTGCTTTGAGACAGGGTCTTTCTATGCAGTTCAAGCTGGCCTTGAGCTCACTATGTAGCCCAGGCTGGCCTCTGTTTCCTTACTTCTTACCTGTTTCCTGTGATTGTGAGATTGTGAGCTGTGTCCTATTTTCCTATGAATAACTAATGCTTATATACTGCCTGGCATGTAGAGAATATTCAGTAAATATCTGCTGAATGTTTATTAAGTAGCAATATGACCTGGATGAATGGAGGTGAGGAAACAACATGCATTTTTAAATATAGTATTATCTTTTATTCAACCATCACTGTGATGAGGAGACATCAGGCATAGCAGGTGATAATGTTAAGCATATTTTAATTGACACATTGATAATATTACCTGGGACGATCAACTCAGCTCTACTGTTTTCCTCAGAACCTGATCTCCGAAAAGTGCAGTAGAAAATCTCATTAGCTGTTGCATTGATTCTCAGCGTGCTGGTCACGTTGAACAATTTCTCCTCCGTCTGGGATGTGGTGATGATGGTGTTGCCACTTAGGATTTGGTGGTCACTGCTTGTCCAGATGACTTCAGCCTCAGGGTAACCCTCAGCCTGACATGTTAGTTCATGTTCAGAGGTGACTGGATCCGTGGAAATTCGTTGGTTGATTTTGAGATACGGGGCTAGGTGATGAACAAAAGAAGCCAGGGATTTCTTAGTATAAAACAGACTTGTGGCTTGGTGCTATCTATATTAGAAACAATATCAAGCAGGCTGGTTCTCAGAGAAATGAACTTACTATTCCTCCTCCTCAGTGGTGGGGAACCTCTCTGCTAGTCTGCCTTAACTTTTTTTGTTCAAACTTTGGCCAACTTTGTGACCAAAGAAACAACTACTTTGTTACACAATCATGTTGGTTCCAGCACTCTGGGATACTGACAGGAGCTCACAAATTCAAGCCTAGCCCAGGCAACATAGTAAATTAAGCAAGACCCTGTCTCAAAATGAAAGATAAAAAAGGGCTGGGGATGTAGATTAGTGTGAAGTTCAACAAAGCATGTTGGTATGTTTATTAGGCTCAAACTAAATGCTGAAATTAATTTAAAATAATTCTTCATCTTTAAGCCAGTATTCTTTCTATCCAAATATATAATGTCTGTTCAAGTATTTGTACATTTCTCAGTAAAGTGCTATATTTTTTACCTAGGACCCTATTTCTTCTTAAATTTCTTCTTGAATATTTCCTTTTGATGTTGTCAAGCTGTCTTTATAAACATAAACCTCTCCAGCTGGAAAGCACTGTTTTCTTAGACTTTACTTAATACCCTGATTTTGATGTATCACTTGCTTTTTCAACTTTGAGTCATATGATCAGAAATTAGTTATGAAAATATGTTCTATGTCATTTGTAAAAATTAATACATGTTTCTAGTGATAATTTAAAAATTTTAAATGTACTTATAAATTTTAGGATACTTTTAGATTTACAAAAATGTTCCAAAAATGGTACCATTACTCTATATTCCTTACCCAGCTTCCCCCATTATTCACATCTTACATTACCACAGTGCAGTCAACATAACAAAAACACTTAGTACATTACTATTAACTAAATCCCATACCTTATCCATTCCACCAGATTTTTCCCTAATGTGCTCTTTCTGTACTATAAATTCTAATAAATTTTTTGATAATTGGTTTGGGACCCTTTTTTTCTCATTGAGTTTATTGATACTTTTTAAGTATACAGTACAGTTACAATTATCATTGGGATCTTATACCTTTACATGACAGATCTTGGTTCTCATTACTATTCTAGTAAGTTGTTCGATGCACACAGATAGCATAAGATCTTTGTTCATGTTTACTCATTACAAACACATTAACCTGTTTTTTTGTGGGTTTTTTGTTTTGTTTTGGTACCAGGGATTGAAGTCAAGATCTCATGCTTGCGAGGCAGGCAGCAGCACCACTGAGCTAAATCCCAAGCTTGACATCAACCTGTTTTTATTCAGCTGCATAATCATTATTTTATTACTAAAACTTTAGTGAGCCACTAATGGTCAGAGCCTTAATTCTCCATTCCTTTACCAGGACATAACAAAAACTCCATGACATATTATTTTCAGAGACTTAACACAAAGCCGGTAGGATAAGACAAAACTGAAAAAAATATGGATATGATGTTTTAGAGCTGTTAAATTAAGGAAACTACCACCAATTAAATCAATAAAATTATAATTTCAAAACACACAAATAATGATTTTTGAGTACTTGAAATCTCAATCTTGTACCTGTCATGTTTAAGAACCACTTAAAAATGGAAACTGTAGTTATACATCATGACATAAAAATTTCCTGAAATAATATTACCATAATAGGGCCCAATTCATATAGCATATAGCTTGATTTCTGGGCAGTTAAAATTTAAGGCCTAAAAGTTACTCTTAACGTAAAATGTTAGGGATAAATGTTTTTCTTACCCTTCTGTCATCAGTTTTAGTAAAAGATTATTAAAGGAGGATAGCATTAGGAGGAGTAGGGAGGATACTGTTTCACACAAAGGAACACGAATAAATGTGGTATATCTCTAAGGCCAATTACAGAAGGGATGCATTCCAGAAGGGATGATTAAATATCCACTACATCAGTTTCTGGAATGGGGCACACACATGAGGGTACACAGGAAAATATCAGAATTTCCACTTACATGTACTTTTATCATATCAATTAAATAATTTAAGCCTCCTAAGTTTTGCTAGTTGGTGTTGGGTCTCATTCTGTCACATAAGGGTCTTACTGAAGAAGGGGAATCTTATAATACCATAGAGAAGATGGCTCTTATTTATTTTTAACTAAAATAACTGTATAAAATGACTTAATTAAAAAGCATCCTATAAAGAAACAGAATTGAAGATAATACTAATAATTCAAATAGAAATTAATGGGTAATGTCAGAAGTGACTTTTTATCAACTACTCTATAAGGTTAAAATCAGTAAGTACTTAACTGGATCTGACAAAGTATTTTCTAAAACCCTTTAATGTTATTAAAACCAGCTACTTTTGTTAATGATGATTTTCAAGATATATTATGCCTCAACATATTAGCTAAGGATGATAGGGAAGCACCACAATTAGGAAGACATTAAAATATTGTTTGTTAAATTTTATTTCATCCTTTAAAATGTATTTTATATTTTCAGAATGCATAATTTTAGATTGAACCATATGAAATTAGTGATAGTTATCCCCTTTTGCCCCTCAAAAATGACAACTTGCTATGATGCAATGTGTATATTAGTACAAAGTATATTCCTTATAATTTACACAAACACACTAGCTTTTCAGATGGAGTGGGTAATCAAAACTTTTTGCAGACCACTGGTTTATTACCTCTAGAGAAATATACTGATGTTAGTTAATCAAAACCAAAAAAGCTCAAGATCATTTTAAAGCCATTACACAACTTGATACATTCTCTAAAGGTACAAAGATAGGCAGCAAAATATGGTTATGAGGGGCACAGACTTCAGAGCTAGACTACTTGTGTTTAGAATCTGGTGTCACCACTTACAAGCTAGGTGGACTTGAGCAAATTGATTAATTTCTTTGGGCCTCAGTTTCCTAATCCCTAAAATGGGAAGAATTATGCTGTTAGATCACTGACAGACCAGCTGAAAGATACATTCTGATTTCAGCCAGGGGCTGTGGCACAGGCCTATAATCCCAGCACTTGGGAGGCTGAAGCAAGAGGATCACCATGAATTTAAGGCCAGCCTGGGCTAAACAGTGAGTTCAAGATCAGCTTGAACTACACAGAAAGACCCTGGTTCAAACAAACAAACAAACAAACAAATAAATAAATAAATTCTGATTTCTACAATAGTAAAATAAGAAAAATATTAATCTTAGACATAACAATGCATCTACCCCACAGAATTAAATGGATTATGATTACAAAAAGCTTAGTTCTGGACTTAATAAGTACTGCGTAAGTTTTTTTTAATTACTACTACTACTACTACTACCACTAGTAATACCTGAGTAATACTGCTACTGCTAAAGTGTACTTTCATGGTATTCTTAAGAAAGTACAGTTCCTACAGAAAGTACAGTGTTTTTGGAAATAAATTTTCACATATTAAAACCTGCTCATGTTCAAAAATTTCAAGCTAATCCTATTGGAGGAAATCAATCATTTATTCAACAAATATTTTTTGTGTGCTCATCATACTACATACATTTTACTATATGTCAAGTCCTAAGGATATAACAATGAATAAAACAGACTATACCTCTGCCCTGGTAGTTTGTTTATGTTTTAGACAAAGGAGAAAGAAAAAAGGGCCCAACTATGATGCTCTACATGATAGTGATAGATGCAAAAGGGAACAGTTAAACAGGGCTGGGGAGTTTAGAGGCAAGGAGTTGGTGGGGGAATGATAGCAGCTAATCTCTGGCCCACATGACTGAATAGCTTTATCAAGATAGCTAGCTTTGCATCACATTGTCCTTTCAGCAGCCTGATCCCATTTTAAGGCCCTGAAGATATTAAATGGTCATTTTACTTTCCATGATATTAACATTCAATTTTCAATTGAACATCAGATGCCTGAGAATCTGGTATTTAAACTAACAAATACAAAAGGTGTGATAACACTCACAGTGATAAATGAGTTAACATAAAACCAAACCCTTTCAAATTTCAGTTTTGAAATGCTTCACCTTCAAAATCCCACGGAGTAAACTCCCTGTGGGGAAGCTGCATTACCACACATTTGCAGTGATGGGAAGAGAAGCCCAGAGGGATTACTGTGAAATAATTTGCATATGGGGGTGACTCAGGACTTCTACTTCCTTGGGGGTGCAGAACTTCTCACACAAGCCACCAAGTTTCCAAGGGGCACTGGGGGCACTGCTTTGGTGCAAGTGAAGCCTGTCTGCTGCTGTGTTTTCAGTGTAGAAGTTGCAGACTCTTGGTTTAGCTCAACTCAACTTCCAAAACCACTGAATGCAAATGACAAGATCGATTGGAACTATGGTGCCTATTTAGTTCAGTAATGTGTTTTATAAGATAAAAGGGGATGGTCAAATAAATCAGATCTTCAAGCCTGCTTGGTCATCTTCTTTACATCAAAGACTTTTCCTTGAAAAACCCATCATTGAAGATTTCCTATTATGTTGAAGCAATATTACAGAGTCAAGATAACCCAGAATAATCTCTTTATCACTACAAAGGACACACCCAAAGTAGTCCCCTGAATACTCTCAACAAGCTGATGAGAGGCTTCTGAGGATAGAAACTTAAATTCTATGCTTTCTTCTTTACTGCCAGGATTGTGCTCTTATTTTCCACACGTCAGATCTAGCAATGCTGGCTTTCATGGGCTTGAGGCTTGAAAACTGCTTTAAATGCCTTAGAATAAAACAAATGCCTGATATTTGCTGAAGAACTAAAGAAAAGTTGCAAATATAAACAACCCCAAACTAAGCATGCTTTCATAAAATTCATGAAGAAACTATGATAAAATATAAACAAATTAAGTCTACTTTACAAGCGACACTTTCTTAACAATGTTTCTTAACACTTTCTTAACAAGCAAGCATCAGAGAAGCAGTAACATACCATAAAAGGGGTGCATTTCTCCTAATCTCTATATAATTTCATTTTTGTGTTTATAATTTTCAGCACTTCTTCATGATAAATACAAACATTTTTACTTATATTACTGACCCTAAGACTGGTGGTAGTAGTTAGTTGAGGAACAAAAAGATCAAGGGGAGACAATTTAATTCTAGTTAATATTAAAAAGTTATCCTAAAAATAAAAGCAGCCGGTAGATAATCTCTAAACTGTGACAGACAGAATAGGTTTCAGCTCAATAGAGGGGAGAAATTGCAACAGTCTCTGGAAGGGGGTTCCAAAAAACAGGGACATCACTGTGGGAAGTCTAAGAATAGCAGATCCTTCAGGGGATTTCTGGGCTTTGCAGGAGTTTGGATCAGCTTCTCCAACCTGGGATCCTTTCGGCTCTCAACTCTGTGAAACTCAACAGTGAAAGCAGCGGTGGTCAGCGAAGGTGTTTTCCTTCTCTTAACCAGTACCAACCTAAAACTTTGAACTCAAGTGACCTGATGACACATTTGTGGGTCATTATCCAGGAATTAACACTTACAGTTCCTCTTCAACACTCCAAGATAACAGTGGTATACACTGAGGTGAATTATGCCTGGTGAGCACAGCCTGAAAAAGTGGTTACTTCCATATTTAATGTGACCATTTTTGCCTTTATCAGTTGACTTCAAGTTTTTCTGAATGTGAACCTTACAACGGGCTTTGCTTTTAATATATTTATTTGGGTTTGATACAGAGAAGCTCCGAGGAAGGAAAATATGTCTGACCTAATAGAATAAATAATAGCAAGTGAATAAAAAAATTCTGCAGGGACATATAAATAGTGCTTACTATATTCAGATCATGATGGTGACTGTAGGAGGGACATTTCTGCAATTCATTTTATTCCCTTCCATAGTGTCCAGATTATTTGTAAATACATTTATTATTTTTATAACAAGAAAAATGTTTTTTGTTTTTGTTTTTGTTTTTTGGTACCAGGGATCGAACTCAGGACCTCACACTTGTGAGGCAGGTGGTAGCACCACTGAGTTAAAACCCCGACCCTAATAAGAAAAATGTTGAAACCTGGAATTTACTTTTTGGAAAACCGAACATACAGTATAGAATATGGCTCTGGGTCCCCAGGGACTCTCAAATAAGAAGTGCTCGAATATCACCCAAAGGATGAGTGAGTGAAAAAATGAATGAACAGACTGCTGCCGTTCTGTTGGAAAGTAAGTCTGCACTTCCAAGCATGAAAAGCTCTCAACACTTGACCTATTACAGATAAAGGTCAAGCCTCTCTCGCTATAGTAGTTCTTACCATTGACTTTCAAAGTAATCCGCTTGTAGTCCGCACCACCATAACTGATGATGCAGCAGTAAACTCCTTCGTCCTGCAGTTTCACATCTGTGATCTGAAGCACAGCATTTCCCTTAAAGAGCTGGTCTTTGAGCAGCTGGGCCCTATGCCTGAAGCTGCTATGCTGAACCTCGGGATCTTCCTTTCCGTGCACAAACTGAATAATGTGCTTATCCTCCTTGTCCCAGTAGACAGATAAGGAAAGCAGGTCCAGTTGATTTTCTACTTGGAAGTTGCATTCAATTGTTACGTTGCTGCCATATTCTACAACATACAGGTCCTTGGGAACTGTGATAGTAAATGCTGAAAAGAAAGATGGCCCATTTTCAGAAGATACAAATATTTACAAAATAAGTATAAAATTTATAATCACTTTAACTAAAGAACTGTAAGATAATTATACTTAAGAATTTACTTGCCTAAAACACACATTTTATCCAGCAGACTGGAAAGATATTTTGAGACAGTATAAACTGACCCTTGCATTCAAATAATAAAAACAGCTAAACAAATTGTCCTATAATTCATAAATACACATTTCTTTTTTTTTTTTTTTTTTTGGTACCGGGGGTGGAACTCTGGTCCTTGCACTTGCGAGGCAGGCAGCAGAACCACTGAGCCAAATCCCCGGCCTAAATACACATTTCTATAAAAATGCAGTGATGCAATATTTATAACCAGACCTATTTGGTTTCATTTAGACGTCCCAGGAAGGTCATCTGATTGGATAAATGTCTGCCTTCCATGTAGTGTGGATGGTAGATTCTAACAGTCTTCCCTTCTTACTGTCTTAAAGTATTGATCAGCTATCCTGCTGGAGGTTCACAGGTATGAAAATTTATGGAGGACCTCAGGATGTTGCCAGTATTGTTACCCTGACAATTTCCATGTTTACGGAAATTCTTAGAAAATCTTCATCAGGAAAAGCAGGTCACAGAGCAATGCAGATAGAATGATTCAGACCTTGCTTAAAATAAACAAAAGTATATCTACAGATAATTTTCTCAGAAATTTTCAGTAGTTTTCCCTGGGAAATGGGCAATGGGCTAATTCAGTATTGTCTATGTTCTTTATATCTTTACATAATAACACAGGTGACTTCCAAGAATGAAAATGCATATGAAATAAAGAAAAAATAGACTGTTTGGTCTATAAGACCCACATCCATTTAAAAATTATTATTTTAGGTTTTGCATTCATAGATAAAACATTCACAATATAGAATTCAATGACAGGATTTGGTGTCTTACCATGCAGCAAATGATAGTAGGCTATGAATATAAAGATGTCAAATATCCTCATCTTTCTGGGATGACCTAATTGTGGGACACACAGAAAGAGGATTGTTTCATTCAATAATGGAACCCTCAGTATGACAGCAGAGACTTGATAGTTCTAACTGAAATAGTCCTGATAACCAGCTAATGACTGATGTGTAAGCGTGGAAACACAGCACAGAATCTGGAATGTCAATGCCTTCATTTAATAGTCCAGAGCTATATAAAGCCAAGTAGAAAGATGTTAATAAGATGAAAATTTTTAAATTCAGTTAAAGGCCCTGAAAAAATTGTAACATACACTCAAAAGGAGCCAAGAAGAAAACAGCTTACCCATATCCACTTATCTATTTTATGTTTTTTTCTGCATTGTAACATATTTAGAAATCCAAACCTGCCATATGTAAAAATTTAAAGAAAGAGAATCTGACTTCCACTTCTCCTATACATCAAAAGTCCTCCCTTTCCAACATACACCTTTCATCTTACATTTAACCATTCAAGACTTCACTACATCAAACTGACCAGCTTCATCTTTCTCCCTCTTATTCCAAATTGCAGACCCTATTTTCTCAAGATTCCACTAGGAATTGGGTGGGGGGGGGATAGTGTCTCATGCCCGTCTTCCAGTGGTAGCTGTCTTTCTATTCGTCATTATGTCATCTTGCTTAAGATTTTACCAATTCTTTTAATCAACAAATATTGAGCACCTCCCTGTGCCAGGCACTACTGTACTTCACAAACTGCAGATATAGCAGGGAGCTGGAAAGAAATTTCATTCTGCTCTGGTAGCTTATATTCAAGTAAAAGATGATTTGCACTTTATGTAAATCTGTACATTTATTAGCATATTTTCTTTTATGTTTGATAAGAAATTCAGTTTATTCTCTTAGTGTCACTATAGACCTAATACAGATATATAATTACTCAATGTTACACATATATTACAGAAGATTAATGCTCGTAATATATAAATAGCTTCTAAAACTAAGAAAACTAATATAATCCGAGAGGACAATGAGCAAAAATTCTACCATGAAGTTCAGAGAATAAGATATACAAATGAAAAGTAAACAAAGAAAAGAATGTTCAACTTCACCATAAAGAGTATATTTGTTATTAAAGAGGCTATCTTTCCTCCACTGAGGATGGTCAGCTCCTTTGTCAAAGATGAGGTGGCTAAGTACATCTGGATTTGTTTTTGTGTCTTCCAAACTGTTCCACTGATCCTTAGTACCATGTTTCTTTGCCAGTACCATGCTATTTCTATCACAGTGGCTTTGTAGTATAGTTTCAAATTGGGAATTGTTGTACCCGCTGCCATGTGTCTGTTGCCTAGGATGGCTTTTGCTATTCTAGGTCTCTTATGGTTCCAAATGAATTTTTTGATTCTTTTTTCTAGTTCTGTGAAATATAGTGTTGGAATTTCAATTGGCATTGCATTGAATCTGTATAGCAGTTTTGGTAGTATGGCCATTTTCAGTATGTTGATACTTCCTACCCAGGAGCAGCGGATATCTTTCCATTTTTTTATATCCTCTTCAATTTCTTTTTTCAGAGTGCTATAGTTTTCAGTGTAGAGATCTTTTGCTTCTTTCGTTAGACTGATTCCTAGATATTTCATTTTTTTGGATGCTATTGTAAAAGCAATTTTTCCCTTTATTTCTCTCTCAGTGAGTCTGTTATTTGTGCATAAGAAGGATATTGATTTTTGGGTGTTTACCTTGTATCCAGCTACTCTACTGAATCTGTCAAGGTGTTCGAAAAACTGTATTTCAACTTGCCACAGATTAAAACTGGACCCTTATCTTTCACCATGCACTAAATTAAAATCCAAGTGGATTAAAGATCTAAATATTAAAACAGAAACACTAAACTTGCTGGAAGATAAGTTAGGCAGAACTCTGGAAGATATTGGCATAGGAAAAGACTTTATGAACAAATCCTCAGTAGCACGGGAATGAGCAGAAAGAATCAACAACTGGGATCTCATCTTATTAAAAAGCTTCTGCACCGCAAAAGAAACCATCAAGAGAACTAAAAGACAACCTACAATGTGGGTAAAAGTTTTTACCAGCTGCTCCTCACACAAAGGACTATTGTCTAGAATATATAAAGAACTCAAAAAAATCACCCTCCCAAATATAAAGACCCAATTCAAAAATGGGCATCTGAAATGAACAGACATTTCTCAGACAAAGAAGTAAAAACAGCAAGTAAATATATGAAAAAATGCTCCACATCACTGGTCATTTGAGAGATGCAGATGAAAACAACAATGAGATTCCACCTCACCCCACAAAGAATGGCTGCTATCAAGAAATCCAACAATAACAAATGTTGGTGGGGTTGTGGGGAGAAAGGAACCCTTCTCCACTGTTGGTGGGAGTGCAGACTGGTGCAACCACTGTGGAAATCAATATGGAGATACCTCAAAGAGCTTGGACTGGAGGTTCCATTTGACCCAGCCATCCCTGTGCTGGGTATCTTTCCAAAAGAACTAAAAGAATCATATCACAGTGATGTATGCACACCCATGTTTATATCGGCACAGTGTGTAATAGCTAAAACTTGGAAACAGCCCATTTGCCCATCAGTTGGAAACTGGATAAAGAAGATGTGGTTTTTCTATAAAATGCAATATTACTCAGCCATAAAGAATGAGAAAATAGATTCATTCATAGGAAAATGGATACATATTGAAGATATGCTCCTAAATGAAATAAATAGTCACACATATGTAAATACCAAATAGTTTATCTGGTGTGAATAAACTGTAATAATACATAACATCCTAATAAGATTACTGACATTGTGAAATGGGAAGAAAGGGGCTAAAGTTGTGGGGAAGGTGAGATGGGTAGGGGAAGGGTAATAAGGGAAAAGGAAAAAATGTGAGATCGTGAAAAGATGGAAATAAAGTGTTTGTAGTTGGGGAGGTGAGGAGGGGGTGAAGGGAGGGCAAGGACAAGGGGAAAAAATGAGAACCAAGACCTGTCATGTTAAGGCTCAAGATCCCAACAATGAATGTAACTGTACTGTATCCCTAAAATGTACCAATAAACTCAATTAAAGGAAAAAAAAGAGTGTATTTGTTAGAAGGTATCATTTTTCACTTAATTAGCTTGACCAAAATTATGCTTCCTAAGATCTAATGTTTGTCAGTATATGGACAAATAGGGTCTCCTGGCCATTAATGGTAGGAATGTGAAATCCTGTAACTCTTTTGGAGGGTAATTTGGTAATCTCTAATAAAATTTTAAATGTATATGTCACATGACTTTTCACTCCTTCTATAAATCTATCCTACAAAAACAAAATAGTACGTACAATAACGTATGTGCAGAGATGACATGATTAATACCGTAATAGCTCCAAACTAGGAATACTCTAGATAGCTTAAATGATTAAATGAATTTTGGAATTTTCATATAGTACAATACCATGAAGGATAGAATGCAGTAGATAGATAGATATAAATATGTATTGATTTTTCAAAAATGTAGAAAGTTGCCGAACAGCATATGAAGGAGAAACCTACTTTTGTTAGCAATGTGAATATGTGTGCATATGTGGCATCTTTAGACACAGAAAATGTCTAAATTATGTACGTTCAAGATGTTCAAGATGTGGACAGTTATCCCTAGGATGACAAGAGAGATGCAACAAGTAGATTTTCACCAATTTTTAGTTTTTAAAAGGAAGAAAAGATAGAAAAAGAGAAATCATATTGTGAATGATTTTTGGGGGCTTTTTTTCCCTATGTCTAAATTTTCAAATGACTGAGTATTTTACTTTTATTATTAGAACAATTTTATAATTATTATTTGCCAAGCTGCAAAATTTTTAGCAACTCCAAGGGGCATAATGGAAGCACCCCAGAAATGGAGTTATTATAAGGGTAAAGTAAATGAGTCATAATCCTTTTACTGGTGTTAGTACATAATTCTTATTTCTCTACTCTCCATCTACCCTGTACATAGGGAGTAAGGAGGGCATGTAGGGATACAAACGTTCCTGAAATGA